CAAAATGTCTTCCCAATGCATGAACTCAGATTTAGCAAAAATAAGAGTTAAACCAAAGGTTGAAATTGACGCAATAATAATGTATCCTTATCACAGTATATAACATTATATTAGCAAGGGTGCATACATTTACCAACAAAACGTTGATATAATGGTGTAAGACTCTACTAGATCCTGAGGATGACCAAAATGTTAAGAGTTCAATTCCTGAGAGCAACACTTGTTGGGAAATACAACTATACCTCCGAAAGGGATTAGTTCTTTATCCATAGACTGAAGGGATACCTATATTTTATGAACTACCCTTTTATCTCTTAACCAATCTAGTTTCTTACAAGAGGATCATTCCCTTAATCTATGCAACAAATTCTGTGTTTACCTAACCCCATTCCACATCATAATATGGTTTTCATATAATATTTTAGCTTTTTGGTCCCTACCTCCCAACCAGAAAAAAATTTAGTTTATCAAAAAACAGCAGCTACCGTCTAATTAGTAACCATTATTTCTCTGCCACCCATTTGGAATAACAGATCAAAAGGCATAAAGTTTTGCATAACATCAAATTTCTTCAGTCAACATTGTCTTACAGAGAAATATCCACAAATGATAACCGGTTTCCTTAGCATTGTTGAGTTATCCATTGACAAGAAAAAACAAAGCATCCAGATTAATTGAAAATATGTTGTTCTTTTACATAAATTATGATTTGGCTGTTTCATTTAACAGCTAAAGATATCAACCCATGGCATATTTCTGTGTCCAGCTGCGAGCAGTAGCTTCATACTTGGCCCTGTCAGTCTTGTACATATGTGCAATTTCAGGCACGAGTGGATCATCAGGATTGGGATCCGTCAATAAGGAGCAAATTGACAAAAGGACCTAAAATAGAAACAAAGGGAATGTTAACAAGTGCCCTAAAGACGAGAAATTTTATCAATATCGAGTTATCGACAAAGTTATGAACTAAGGTTTCCATAAAAATAATGCAATTAGCATGCATAAAGGTTTGATCATTCAGCTTAAGAATATCAGAACAATCTTGTAAAATTATAGCTCCAGTAATATAAAATAAACAGATTTCTGTTAATCATGTGATAAGCTGAAATCTAATTCTAGAATACTTAGTAGTTTTTGCACCAAACACTTGAAATTCAGAATAAAACACTTGCTTCCTAGTAGTCCCTAATGCAGTAATTCTGCTACAAACAGGATATCGCAAAGGTAACTCAGTAATTATATCTAACTATGAGCAGCAAGTGACATACAAACTCCATACTTATGCAAAACTATTAAATATGAAGATAAACAAGCTACGGAAAACCAAACCTTGGAGATGGTTAGTGCTGGGCTCCACTGCTCCTTGAGAATGTCGAGACATATACTGCCATTACTGTTGATGTTTGGGTGGAATACCTTGGTCCTAAATGCAACCTGCAGTTAAAGCATATTAATAATTATACCAGCCTGAACTAATCCGCGGTGACATATGTTCAACATACTTCAAAACTTGACTACCAGCCGGTAAAACAGCAAAAGTTTGTGGAGAGGAAATCATATTAGGTAGTCCTACGGTATGTTGGGTGCACAATTTATCACATTACCTAACCAGGAAGACATGAAACATGAACTTTTACATCTCGCTAAACGTGGAATAGGGCCAAGTGGAAGGGCATGTAACAACTAACATCCAAGATCTAATTTTGCAACAGCTACTTCGACTTTCCTTTCAACCCTCATTTAAACTAACTTGGTTGGGAGTGAGGGGTGTACACACAAGTGGAAACTGGGGCTAACAAAAGAGGTATCCACAAAGTAAGACGTGTACACCATTAGAGGGTGAACTAAACAGTCCAGACAACATAGCTCCTGAAAAGTGTCTGCTATGTACTACTAATCAAATTTTCCTGTGAGCAAACACATGGCTGAGAGAATAGGAAGCACCAGTATTGAAGGGAGGGTCAATTATTAGTATCAGGCACTGGAAAAAGCTTGGTTCCAACCATCCAATTTCAGATTATGCTTCCCAGCATTCAACTCCCTTTTGTACTTCTAATATGTTTTGTAAGAAATACATAGAAGTACTAGTAGATTGATATCTCTTTTCCACAGAGAAGAGTTCTTCATGTCAACATTTCAACGAGTCTATCAAAACCAGTCTTCAGTGCCCTTTGGAGCAAATAAAAATTATGCAAAGAAAATCCACAAACAACAACCAAGCCTTAGTCCCACTAGGTGGGATCGGCTATAACAAATATGAAGTCTTGAAAGATATCTATAACCGGGTATTTTAATAAAAAAGGTCCTCAGGGAAGTATTAAGAAAGAATACTGGTTAAATTAAAAAGTTGCTAAATTTTTTAATACATATTAAAACAAGTATCTAAACCATGTCTCATCTGTATTGCTCCAAAACATATTGGTAAAATATTTTTATTTTTTTTAAATAATACTTTTGCTATATGTATCAGGACATATCGTACACTTATATCAGTGTCAGATATGGGTTCATCACTGATACTTTCCCATTTTTGAAGTATATGGGATTCATAGCATGACACATGACCATTAATACAGGTGTCTCTGCTTGAGAAAGCAAGAAAAACAGTTTCTAATGAAAAATTCCTATTCGAGAACCATAATATTAGATGTAAGGCTACCTACAGTGGACATATGCATATGATTTGTTTGATGGGTCTTCCTATGCCCTTTTACCATATTATAATTTATTAACCAGGACTAAGCCTTAAAATTAATAGCACCTTCCATAACCACGATGACAAATAAGCTTGCCCAACAGGTTAAATCACTAACTTACTATGATGATTTCTAGACAACCACGTCAAGTGTTAGAAAATACCCATATCTAGATTGCAAGAGAAGCCACAAGCCACAAGACAAACTCACTAACTCTACATAACTGTTTTTTAACTATGTTAAGTTATAAATCTTTCACCACCTCAGTACCATGGAGTTCACAGTCTTAAAAGTACTATTTTAATTTAGAACACAACATATTTTCCTTTCAAGTATATTGCACTTCATAAAATACCACACCCACTGCCATGTCTAGCTTGGATCAATGAGTCTAATTCATGCAATCTTTATAGATCAATTCTATAGAAATTGGTTGTGACAGATCTAGCTTGATCCTGGAAAAGGAAGGGGCTGGCCAATAAATTCATACATACATCTTTGAAACAAAATGCATCAAAAAGGCAGTTTCAGATCCCATAGATACAACATCAAGGAGAACACACAGAATGAGAAGCCGTAAACTTATTTCAACCCAATATGATTAAAACAATCATTGAACAAATGTCAACATAATTGCAACATCAGATGACGCAACCATACAAGCAACGAATGTCAGTGGGGGGGGGGGGGGGGGGATAAAAGGCAAAGAAAGATAGAATACCTTTGGTGGCTTGAAGGGATAGTCAGGAGGAAAATGAATTGAGACCAGGAAAACACCACCTGAGTAGGGGCTATCCGCAGGTCCCATGATTGTTGCTTGCCAGTGAAACATGTCCTCGGCCACCGGACCTGATGAAAAAAATATTTTTTTCAAAGTCCAATGAAAAAAGAAGACCCTAATAGGTACCATACCTATGGTGAGTGATACTATAAAATTCCCCTCGTTGAGTTATACTTTCCCAAGTTAATAAAAATGAAGACTCACAGACTTGTGGATCAAGGTATGTTATATGTTATTTTGTCCAATTAGCTTGTAACACCTAAATGGGAAAAACCCACTGGGAGAGCCAGATCCACAGTATAATGTGGATATTCGCAGATCAGAAAGAATTGCCTTCCATGACAAATACATGTGGCTAAACCCAAAATAAGCTGGGGGGGGGGGGGGGGGGGGGGGGGGGTGACACAGCCAAGGAAGCACTGGGACATGGATACAACACAACATGGATACTGGGATTCTAAGATCGAGATGCAAGGTGTGCAACATTACATTAAAAATTAAAATAATAAATATCATCTATATAAAAAGATGAAAATAGTCAAAATACTAATGTCAAAATCACAAATTTTAAATATATCTAATCAAATAAATTAGATATTTCATAATCGATCTCTATGTGATTTCATATTTTTAAATCATTGAATAATCAATTCATTGCCAATATTACCGAACACTTCTCCCTCAACAGAAGTTATTAGACAATCATTCATTCATGCATCTCTCATTCAATTACGCAATCTATTTTTCACAATCTTCATAGTTGAAAAAAACTATTTCTATAGTTGTTGTGGCAACAAGTAAAATTATTGTTAAATGCAAAAAAATATAAACTAATGGGTACATAAACAATGTGTTTTCTACTTTCAACCAACTTATCTAAAAGATTATTGATTTATTTCACTCAACATTACTATGCATATCAATGATGTGAGTCTCAAGTTGATTATCAAGCATCATCAAATCAGTTGAGCAAAAGTCTCGTCGATAAACTTTGAAAATTCAATCAATTTTGCCATGTCAAAACTAAAGAACAAATTGGCTTGACTCAAAATAATACATACAAAGAAGTAGCACAATATTTGTCTTGCAGAAACAATTATGAAATTCCTAAGTTCCTTAAGTTTCGTACCAACAATAGTATAAAGTAATTCAATATGATAGTGGTTATTTATTCTTCACGTAATGTCGTTTGCAAAAAAATAAATTTTCAACTTATAAATGGTATACAAATTTTTTGAACATTTTGTGGGAAATTCAGGGTGTGTATTCCTGTGGTGCACATAGAAGTATAGAACCGTCCATATAGATATAAGCACAAATTTCACATTAGAAGAAATGAATAATATTTTTAAAGCTAGCATGAGTCATAAACATAATAAAATGCTAATCTTATAAAAAAAATTGTGATATTTCAGTCCATAGTGAAAACAAAATTAAAAAAGTAAATATAAAATGTTATAAAATAGAGTAAAGAGTGTCTACAACACAGGTACCTGTTTAACACAAACACGACACTGATGGCGCTTCTTTGCACCTAGCTAAACTAAAAAACATGGCCAATACAAAGTTTTACATAAAGCCAAATACACACGAAATTTCACAAAAAAATCTTTAATTTTGAAGAAGGGTTAAAAAAAATCAAAGACTAATTATTAGTATTGGGTTGTTATTATTATATAAAAGAAAATAATAAAGCAAGAACCGAATCTTAATCTCATAATTAAGTGATGGAAAAATGATCCTGACCTGCACTGCATGATGTGGGAGGATCCTTCTGCAAATCCTTGAGCTCCTTCAAGATGCGTTTCGACGCCATACCTAAACATTTAAAAACAAAAAAGCTCAAAAACTAGAAATAAAGCTGATCAGAGATTAATAAATAGAATTGAAAATAGAGGAAAGGGTTTGAAAGAGGACAGAGAAAGCGAGAGAAAGAGAGCACCGACCTGAATTTAGAACTCACAACCGTACAAGTTGAAGAACCGACCAAGGATTTAAAGTCAAATAATTACAGAGAAGTAGGAGTATGTGAATTTATGAGAGAGAGAGATTCTACAAATTTGTTAAAATTATTGATTAAGTACGAAAGGTTGAATAATGAAATCACTCTTTTATTATTATTATATTATTATAGTGTAATATTTATGTATTTTATAAAGATTTATACATCGTCAATATATTTGGATTAGATATAAAATATACAAATATTATTATCCATTTAACGTAATAATGGAGTAAGAATTATTGTAGTATTGCAGGGTAGCTTCAAATAAACGCGTAACTGTTGTTTTTTAATGGGATACAGAGAATGCTGACATATGTAAACTAAGAATGACGATGATGGTAAATAAAATGTGCCAATGCAAATTAGGTTATTAATGAGTTGGGATGACAAGGTGATAAATGTAGTTACTCGTATTTATACTTCTACTATTTGTGAATATTTGTGCGAATAATAGATATTTGTGAATGTCTAATGAATTTTTAATTTTAATTATATATTTATGTATTTTATAATAATTAATATATAAAATTAATTATTACTTAAATAATATGATATATATACGATAATTTAATAAATTTATAATCTAATCACTAAAATTTATTATGAAATAATAATAAAATAGACAATAAATAATATTAATAAGGCACAATATATAAAATATTTAATTAAAAATAAATTTATAAATACGCAGGAATCAACATGTCAGATACTCATAATACTCACTCTCACTAATAAGTTATTTTTGTGATTATCCATTATTTTCACATTTATATTCACGTGTCTTAATGATAAGGTTTATATGAGAGAGAAAGTAAAAAGAGATAAATAGAGAAATATAGTATATTTTAGTGTTGTTTGGTTGTATGAAAAATAAGAGAAAAAATGAGTGTTTCTTCCTCACTCTGTTCCATTCATCCAAAATTATGTTTCAATTAAAAAAAATATAATATTCATTATTTTTTAATTTTTTGCTTCAATATTATTGTTGTGTGATATAATTTGAGATACAACCGATTTTGGTTCCTCTTCTCCTCTCATTTTTTTCTCACGTGAGAGGAGAAACAAATTTGATGGTGCCACCCTTTTTCCTTCTCTCCCTTCAAACTCCCTTAAATAAAATGGGAGAAAAACTCTATTTCTCATCAACTTTTCTCCTCTCATTCTCTTCTTTTTCTACTCTACCAAATGAAAGCTTATTATGGATATCTATATTTGACTTTTCTACTCACTTGGTGTAATAGTTGGATTTCAGCTTTTAAAATGGACCGATTGGGCAGTGTAAGAAAATGGAGCGGAGGGGTTCATGTTAAATTTTTATCCTAAAATCAATAGGCATAGTAGATTAATCCAACCACTATATAAATTACCAAAGAATTGAAACAAGCATGTGAGACTACATTGCCTTGGTCTAGAACCTTGAAATGAAAGAGATTATATAATTTATTGTTCTGCACTTTCTATAACCTGGAACATCACAGCACAACATCCAACAATATTATCTATATTCTATTCGTCTAGTAATGTAAGATCTTATTAAATCCTTAGATAGACAAAATGTCAAAAAGTTTGATTACTCTTGTCGACACTTGTTAGAATGGACAACCACACATTCATTACTTATAGAATAAAGAAATAACTTTTATTATATATAAAAGATAGCCAAGTTCATGAGATTGGAAAAGGGATGTTTTTATCATCATTATCCAGGCATGGCATGATAATGTAATGCAATATTACACATACATGATATATCCATTGGGGTGCCAACAACTATCATAACAACAATTACAGGAAATCAATTGTTCTTGAATGATGATCATCAATTGAATCATGATGTTAATGCATAGGAATTTAAAAATATATACCTAACTGCTGAATAAACCATGGAATTCCATTAGTGAGAAATATTGCATGCACTCTTGTATACTAGTTTATGTTGCTTCCGGGATAATGAACTTGTAGAAATGAATTTGATTGTATCACAAGCAAAATGCCAGAATTAGTTATGGAGATTGAACATTTAATTCCTTAGATTTATTCTCTTCAGAAGATGGCCGATTCTCTGAGTCAGATCGTCGGATATCTTCGACCATTCTCACTATTTCCTCCATGCTAGGCCTCATATCAGGAACCTTTGCCACACATGCCATGCCAATTTGCAACATTTGCACCATTTCTTCTTCAATATTTTGGTATCTCATTAGCTCGACATCAAAAACCTCGGCTGTCCACTCTTCCCTAACAACAGACTGGACCCACCTAGGGAGATCAACCATGTCATCACGTCTCGGAGATTGCTGTGGCGCCTTCCCAGTAAGCATTTCCAGAATAAGGACACCAAAACTGTAGACATCTGATTTATGAGTGTGCTTACGGGTTTCAATCACTTCCGGAGCACGATAACCTGCAGCTCTAGAAGGGGTTGCATGAACATTCATAAGTGGTGTCAGACCAAAATCGGAAATGCAGCCATCATTATCTTGGTTGAGGAGGACATTTGAGGCTTTGATATTTCCGTGTGTGAATTTTGGACCACCGGCAGAATGTAAGTGAGCAACTCCTCTGGCAATTCCAATAGAGATTTTCACTCTAGACTCCCAATCTAGTAGAGTTCTTTCATCAGCCCGACTACCTGTGATCAAAGTCAGATCCAATTTAAGGGAAAGTGAAGTGATTTAGCTAATTCAGTTATATGCTACAAGAAGGTCCATTTACAGATACAGGTAGAAAATCGGATTATCTAGAAGGAATTCAAAGTTCAAACTTTAGACTAATCCAATATAACAGATTATAACATATTTCATCTGTTTCTAACAAATCATATTTTTCTAATGCGGAATATGAGAGGCTATACCATGGAATATATGTGCAGTTTTTGGTGACAAGCAAGAAACAATAACTAGTTGCTAACTATGTAGCACAATTGTACTAGCTCTACTATGTTGACTAAAATCATTAATAATTTAATATATTTTTGTTTTATGAGGTCATCATCTCTCATAAAAGCACATGAGATACACACAATGGAAAAAAAACATTATAATAGAGGGGCCTAATGCAATGGAGAGAACAACTAGGAGGTAAAGTGTCATCACTTCATAGTGAAGCAATGGCTCCATATTTCAACTTTCTGTCCACACAACATGATAAAATTTAATGGAGATGTCCGGCGTATTATGCCCTAATAATTATTACTCACATTTATTTAGCAATAGTAGGTCCTGTCCTTCAAATCAATTACAATGAAGTCCAATATGATGCAGATTTAACATATTTGCTCGGCTCAAAAAAATATATTAGTCTCAAACAAGGAATAATAGAAAACAAGAAGTTTAATTGTATAAGCCAATTGAAACTAGTAAAACTGAAATACCATGCAAGAGTGTTGATAGATTGCCATTTGGGATATAATCAGACACCAAAAGCTTTTCATCCTTTGAATAATAATAAGCACGAAGTGGCAGAACGTTTGGATGCTGTCCAACCCTTCCTATAATCTCCATCTGTTGTTCAAAGTCCCTTTTGCTTACCACAACTTCTTTCAACCTTTTCACTACAACTGTTGTTGACTCCTCTAATATGGCCTTGTACGCAGTACCATAACTACCCTTTCCAAGAACTTCAGCAGAAGCCCTAAGCAAATCCTCAAGATCAAAATTATAGGAACAGCCCTCAAAGAAAACCAATTTGTTTTTCTCAGTGTCTTGCACCCCACTTCCGAACTTTTCTTTTGGCTTCACACTCCTACCTCCACTTGGACCCTTCCCTTTATCTGCGCTGGAGCTTCGATTAGCTTTTTTCTTTAAACAGAAAAGAACACTAACAAGAGTCACCAAAAACAACAGTGCAGCTCCTCCAACTGCAACTGCAATGATAGCAGCCTTACTCAGTTTATTTTTGGATCTTTGTTTTGCAGGTGGTGATGGTGCGGTTGGAGTCAATGTGGGAGGAGAAGGTGTATGGGGGACTAGAGAGCATGACTTTAATGGCAACCCACATAAGAGAGAGTTCCCTTCAAATGAAGAATTTGGAAAAATCTGAAGAGTTTCAGGGATAGAGCCATTCAAATGGTTGTTGCTTAAATTCAAGTGTCTGAGTTTAGTGACATTTAGATTAGGTATCGGTCCAGATAGGGAGTTGTTCTGGAGGTTCAGTCTAGTTAGTTGTGTCAAATTCTTTATTGTCTTTGGAATGCTACCAGTGAAGGAATTGTACGACAAATCGAGTACAATGAGTTGGGCTGACAATGAGGATGGTATATCACCAGAAAGGTTATTATGCTGAAGATAGAGATATTGGAGAGAAGGAAGAGAAGTAATATCAGTAGGAAGAGTTCCACTGAGTAGGTTGGAGCGAAGACTAATGTTTTTTAGTGCATTAAGTTTTCCGAGTGTATTGGCTGGGATGGTGCCCACTAGTCCAATTCCAGGGAGCCGGACAGAAACAACACGAGTTCCATCTGGATCGCAAGTGATGCCTTCCCAAGAAGTACAGATTGAGGTAGCTGGATTCCACTTAAGATTCCGACGATGGGGAACAGCAGCAGCAAAATCAAGAAGGGCTTGCTTATCAGAACCATGATCAGCTATAACCAGAGGAAAAAGAATAACAATGATAAAAAGGAAATGTTGCATTTCAGGGCAATATAACTTCATGGTGTGTGCTTTTACTGGAAGGTACATGATATTGAGAAATAAAGTCGAGGTATCGTCTGCATTCGCTCATAGTTTCCTGGTTTAGCACCAAATAAATCAAAGTGAGGACACAGTAGCATGAAGAAAGAAGCACTGTATAACAAAGCTAGGTTGTAGAATTATAGTGACAGCATTTAAGAAAATATTTTTATAATAATTCCAGTTCTTCAACCATGTAGAGAGATAATGGAGGAATACACTTTCTGTGATTAAAAGCGCATATACACAACTTAATGAAGTTATAGTTTTACATCTTAAAAGAGATATCCTAGACTAACAAAACATTAAATACAATTTTTAAAATGGTTTAAGCATGCCTCATAAAGCTTCAGCTTTGTAAAGTGACAACAGAACAATAGTAACCTCCCCTGTTTACAATAACTAAGAATATAAGTAATAAAATGAAAGCAACAGTTCCATGAAGTTGAACAAAAACAATTGCATCACCTGAAACTTTTCAATAACTAGAGATCGAAAGCTATCAAATGACAACTATTCCAACAAGGCGATTACTCGAATTATACTTGAAACAGTTGCAAAGCAACTACAAAGAGTAATAAAAAGCGA